ATAATATATTAAATATTATTATATGTATTAAAAATTAAATATGACTAAATATTATATATATTATAATAAATGTTATATAATATTATTAATTAATTTATATAATAATATATTACATAATATTATTAATATATGTTATTAAAATATTAATATATGTTATTATATAATATTATTAATATATGTTATTACAATATTATATAATATTATAATAAATACGTTATACTATAATTACTATTATATAATATTATTAATATATGTTATTAAATTATGTTATTAAAATATTAATATATGTTATATTTTATATATCATGTTATATATTTATAATATAATTGCATGTATTAGTTAAGTAATACAAAAATATTTTAAAACTATCTCAATTGCCTTCAAAGTGGAACAACATTATTCAAATATGGAGGATGAGGTAAGTTTTTACTATTGTGATAAAATTTTTGTATATGAGTGGGGTAATTTTATCCCAAGTGTTGTAATTGTCTCACTAGTGTTCCAAAAAACCAATAACACAAAAATGTATTATCCTTGTTCCATTGTCCCAATGAATAATACTATGAAATAGAATCCCCAAAATTATCTCATTATCCCCCAAAATACCCCAACCAATAACCCCCCTTACTCTCTAGTTTATTTTGTGCCGTCTCTTCCTTCAAAAAATTGTGTACTTAACACAAATCTATTTTTTGTCCCGAGAGGCTGTTTGGTTGAGTGGTTTTATAGAAAACTTTATAGAAAATGGTTGTTAGTGGTAGTTTTGTAAATAAAACTTTAATGAAGATTTATATAAACTGACAGAAAAATTTTCTATAAAGTACAGAAAAGTACCCCCCATTTTATAGAAATTAATTTCCGTTCAAAATGGGCGGAAATCACCCAGAAATCTGACGCATATATTTAAAAAATAATTAAGTACATCAGTACCCTTCCCATGTGATTTCCCATGGACGTTGTTAGTAAGCTATTTTCTATAAAGTGACATCTAACCAAACAAAAGAAAAAGGAAACAACATATTTTCTATAAAGTTAGAAACTTTTTCATACTTTTAACCAACCAAAGAAATAACAAAAAAACAAGAAATATGGTACTATTTTGAGTTCCATAAAATTTTCCTGCAAATTTTATAAAAATACAAGGAAATCAAATTTCGAGTAATTTTCTTTTTCCTCTTTTTTATAGGAATTGAACCAAACAGCCCCTTACCCTACCTTACGTCCTCTCCCACCAAACCATGACTTAGAGCATCTCCAACCCAACTCCAAAAACCCAAAATGACGTAAAAGCTGCGCCAAATCTCCCTCCAACCGGACGACAAATGTAGCACCATTTTGATGAGGTGCTACAGTGTTGCGCCAGATTTGGCGCAGCACTGTAGATATGGAGATTTTGGTTTTTCTCAAGTTTGCCCTTATAGTTTGTTATAACAAATCAAATATTCCAACCATATCCCATTTTATAGTTTATAAATAAAATGAATATTCTTTTTGGTGTAAAATTTGGTGTAATGGTTGGAGATGGAATAGTAATTCGGTGTAAAAACTACACCAACTTGTTGTAAAAACTGTTGGATAGGGAATTCCTAATCTATTTTGGTAACATAAGGTTATTAGGATTCCTATTCTATTTTGGTAACATGATGTTATTAGGATTCCTAATCTATTTTGGTAATAGGTTATTAGGATTCCTAATTTGATTTGGTTTTGGTTTAGAATTCCTAGTATGTTTATGATTTTAGGATTTCTATATATATGGAACAATTGGAAGAGAAAATTGGAGGAGAAGAAAATGTGGGGATATTTGGAGCACAGAAAATAGGTATTTTCTGAGCTATTTGTTTAGGGTTTTGTTTGGAGAGATTAAGAGCTTGTTGGTGAGATTAGTTTGTTCCTTCGAGTGATTTGTAATCTCAGTTTGTACTATTTCTCTATTAGTGAAAACCTCATCCCCTTCTTGCCCCGTGGACGTAGGCAATTGCCGAACCACGTAAAACTATTGTGTTTGGATTTGTACCGTTGTTTTGATTTGTTTGGCATTATCTCGACATTTGTTTGATTTGGTTCTCGAAGCACGCCCGTTTGGTTGTCACGCTTCCGCGACGCGCACAACAATTGGTATCAGAGCTCCAGATTTCAGATCTAAGGTTTTGTCTTGGTTGGAGGAGTAGATTAATTTGGAAGTTCGGCTAGGGCTTCGTTTGGTGAGAAAGGTGCGATCTTTTTGGTAAAGACTCTATCTTTTTTAGTTTGGATCTATTCTTCGTTTATTTCGCATTGGTTTGTTGACGCTTGGGCTATTTGGAGGAGTAGATCGCTTTGGAGGCTCTTCGAGGGCTTCGTTTGGAGATAAAGATGAGATTTTTCCTATTTGTGGATCTCGTTGTCGTCGTGCGGGGGGAGATCGTTTGGAGACTCTTGTTAGGGTTTCATTTGGAGGTAAAATTCTCTCCTTTATCAGTTTGGATCTATTCTTCATTTGTTGGTGCTTTGAGATAGTTGGCCGAGATAGAAGGATTTGAGGCTGGGTTATTTGTTTATTGATACGGTGCATTGGATTATTGAGAAGTGCCCTTGACCTGCATATTGAAGTCCTTTTGAGCACGTTGGTATGAGCAAGGAGACCGAGGTGGAGTTTGGCACTTCTATTTGATGATTGAAGGGTCTTCTATTTGGTGTTCATTCAGGCATTTAGGTGCCCTCCAATGAGGCATCATTGGAAGGTAAATTGGTATTTTGGTTTCCTATGTTGGGGATTGTACTAGGCATTTGTGGGTTGTAACCAAATCCCGTTGGTTTTGAAGTCCTAGTAGTCAACAACAGTTGAAGAAGTGTATTGGGAGTAAGGTGAAGGTACTTTATTCTGGTTGTAGAAGGAGGTACAAGAGGGACCTACTGTATTTGTACCGAGATCATGGCAGTTTGAGACACTTCATTGGTGTGGAAACTTTGAGGCGACAAGGCGAGATGGTAGATTTGGGCAGCTGTTCCTTTCTGGAGGAGGATCGGCGTTTGATGTCGAGCATTGGCATTGGTGTACAGGCTACAACATGTTTGAGCCGTCTCATGTATAGGTTGCCGACTGCTGCATGTATAGATATGGGATCTGGTGGAGCTGCTTCAGATTTTGGGTTGCGTCAGATGTTTGGCTACCTAGCACTTGGTCACATCGTGGATGTGAGATTTGATCCAATAGCATATTTGGGATTCAGAGACGTGTTTGATTATCAGGTATTGGCTTCTGACTTTGTTCTGAGCAGGCATGTTACATTTGACTCTCAGCAGGTGGAGAGTGGTGATCAGATCTTTGGGACATCGCAACGGGTGGAGAGTGATGCTACTCCACGTTGGGTGGAAACTCCAGATCATACTGCATCATTTGGGATCCAGCTGATGTGACACAGATTGGGAATCGTGTTGATATGGATGCAGATGATAGGTTGATTGATTCGAGTACAGCTGATGGATGTAGTCTGGATATGGCCATTGGTTCATCTCAGGTGGAGATGTTTGGATTAGTTCAGTTTGGAGCCATTGGAGGTGCTATCAGCCGCAGACTTGATCGTGATATTGGAGAAGGGTTGCGAACTCTTCTAGTTGATTGAGGCCTTTGGAGGCCATTTGGGTGAACTACGTGAAGACTTGATTCCTTAGGCAAGAGGATAGGTAGGCAGTCAGTTTTGATGCAGCCGATTTGGTGAGTAGATATCGACATTTGGGTGAGTGTTCGTACTCCCATTTGGGTCTCGACTTGTGTGGATGGAGTCCGTTATCATGAGTCCGTTGCCGTGGCGTACTGGACGCAACAAGTGAGGCATTTGGTTTGGTCGATGTCGGCTTAGTTTTGGGAAAACTTCGTCGATGTGGAGAATTGTTGGATAGGGAATTCCTAATCTATTTTGGTAACATAAGGTTATTAGGATTCCTATTCTATTTTGGTAACATGATGTTATTAGGATTCCTAATCTATTTTGGTAATAGGTTATTAGGATTCCTAATTTGATTTGGTTTTGGTTTAGAATTCCTAGTATGTTTATGATTTTAGGATTTCTATATATATGGAACAATTGGAAGAGAAAATTGGAGGAGAAGAAAAATTGGGGATATTTGGAGCACAGAAAAGAGGTATTTTCTGAGCTATTTGTTTAGGGTTTTGTTTGGAGAGATTAAGAGCTTGTTGGTGAGATTAGTTTGTTCCTTCGAGTGATTTGTAATCTCAGTTTGTACTCTTTCTCTATTAGTGAAAACCCCATCCCCTTCTTGCCCCGTAGACGTAGGCAATTGCCGAACCACGTAAAACTATTGTGTTTGGATTTGTGCCGTTGTTTTGATTTGTTTGGCCTTTATCTCGACATTTGTTTGATTTGGTTCTCGAAGCACGTCCGTTTGGTTGTCACGCTTCCGCGACGCGCACAACAAAAACTACACCATTTTAGGTTTTTGGGTTGGAGATGCTCTTAGTGGTCCATAATGCAGCCAAACCATGACTTATTTGTCCATAATATTCTTGCTGCAAGAAAAGAGTGATTCTCCCTGCCAACAATCAATCATGAAGTACGTCATCACCGCATCTCCTTTGTGAAAGGGAAAGAAACCCCCCCTAAGACAGAAAGGCTTGTGAAGGACCAATCCTTTGTCCTAATAACCTATTTGCTTTATTTCCTCACCATTGAGCTTGGCGTGTCCGAGGGCAGCATTTTGTCCTTTCTCCTCTTTCTAAATGAGTCATTTCGGCACAACCAGAGGGCAAACGTTAACTTTGTCCATATACACTTCTTTGCATCTTTCTCGGAGACAAAATTCTTGCAACGTCTCGTCTCTTTTAATTAGCCCGTGATTACACTCTTTACTATGACTTTTTTCAAAGATGGGGAAAATCACAAAATACACTCTCGCGAGTTACGAGTTATGGAAATTAATATAGTGATGCCCTCTCGAGGGTAATAAAAAAAAAACCAACTGTTTAATAATAGGTGATGGGAACAGGTAAAGCATGTAAAGAAAGATAAAAGAAAACCAACTGTTTAATTAATAATCCCATAAAACTTATACATTCTGAACTTGAACCAAAATTACAGAATACGAACATTGATACCAACTCCTCTCTCCATGTACCAAACCGACATCTTTGCCTCTACTAACTACGTACCAACCACTACCACTAGTAGAAACGCTGCATGCATGGCATAAATTGGACATTGCTAACCGAAACTACACTCCATCGCTCAACGGCATCAAATTCCAAAGATTCTAGTTGTGGTGGCGGTGATGGCGATGACGATGCCCAAAATACGAAGGCGAGGGAGACGGAGAAGGAGAAAACACCGTGAAATTATTAGCGGTGTTATAAACCGGAGGAGTCGCGGGTGAAGTTGAATTGGCAGGCAGGGGGAGGGGAGGCGGAGAAGGAGGCAGTGGGCATTGATAGCACTTGGTGAAGAGACCGAAGGTATCTATTTGATGCACGAAGTTGGTCATGCTAGCCCATCCACCGAACCCAAATCCAACCACCAAGACCCAAACCACGATGAATATGTTGATGGTGTAGGCTCCAATCCATCGGCCTAGGATTTTTGGTGGAGGTTCTACCGCGTTCTGCACACGTAACAAAAATATATGTACATAATTAGGAAAGCATTCTTTAAACTGTGTTCTTGGTTATTTTTTGAGTATGTGATTATGCTCATTAATTCTTCGTTGCACAAGTTTTCGTACATACGACTGTTTTTTTGTAGTTGACTGTTGAGATGTTGAACTTTTAGTTCTCAATTTGTGATGGAAGTTTCTTAGGTAAATTGTGTAACAATCTTTTTTGTACTCTGAAAAAGTACGGAGCGGTGGGATGACTAAACTAAGATTTAAAATAATGATAATTAATAATAAAAGCAAAGCAACTATATGCAACATTAATTCTCATATATGTAAAGACACATTTAAACATCAATCACATAGTAACAAGCATATTAATAATTAGATAATTTTTTTTTCTACATTTGCAAATTTGACATGCCACTGGCCAAGAAATAGCTTACTATTTTTAGTTAACATCTCTAAATGCTCTACTACTCCAAAGTAACACTTGGCATATGCTCAAAGAATTCACTGGAAGTTATTATTCTAATCAGTGATGCACGTCTTAAAGCTATTTCTATTTGTTAATTTCATATAATTTCACACACTTAAGCCGTTACTTACCTTCGTAAAGATTCTCAACACTAGCTATTAGCTAACTAAAAGCAACTTATCACATAAATTAGCCTTAATTAATTAATGTCAGTAATAAAAAACCAAATACCTCTCTTGCAGCAGCCCCCCTGAAAGTAATCATATGAGCCAGCGCGGGAATAATATAAACAGTAAAGCTCACGAGCAACGCCCCCACTGCAGAATTGATCGGCCCAAAGAACGGGAAAATAATCGCCAAGAACCAAATCGGAACCACAACGGGCAACCTCGCCGCCGCTCTCTTACATAAACTCGGACAATCGTGAAGTCCAACGAGCTTCTCCCAAACGAAATATAACGGAGTGCAAGCAAATCCGAAGGTGATGAATTGGTGGATTAGCATGAGGATGACTGCTGCGTCGCGAAACGGAGTTTTGGGAAGGAGAGCGAAGGCGTTGGAGTGGTTGAGGAGCTCGTCGCCGAAGGCCCAGTAGACGCTGGCCGCTGAGGGGAGGGTGAGTGTCATCACGTAGGCGGTTGCCAGGAGGTAGATTGCCTTGAATTTTTGAGGTTTCCACATTGCGTGCATGATTTCACTGTGAAATTTAGAGTGTAAGTGCTAGTAAAATAGTCTTTTGCAATAAATAATGTGATTCCATGATAGAGGAGGTGTATGAGCCACTAATACAATTGAAAAATGAATGCTATGGTAAGTTAGGAACTAACGAGTCAGATATCTACATCGCCTTTAGTTATGTTTTCTAATTAGTTTTAGCACTTAAGTTTACTATTTCTGTGTAAAGTATCTAGAAGTTACGGATGTGTTAGAAAAAATTCTGTGGAAATCACCGCTGGAACCACATTGTTACTCTCTCGATCATAATCGTTCTATGATGTTTAGATAGTTGGAATTGTTTTATGATAAGGATAATTGCAGATAGACCCTCTATACAATCGCCCATACCAATTACAAATAGACCCTCTACTGGTGTGGATAGACTCCTTGCACTATTTGCTTAAGTGCCGATAACTGTTAAAAGAGAGGAAAAATTCACTAAGGAGTCTTATCTTTGTTGATAGAAACTACAGGAGGTCTTTTGGCATGATAGAAACTACAGGAGGTCTTTTGGCAATTAATCATTTCTATTGTCTAATATCTTACTTTCAAACAAGAGGCACTTGTGCTTATTTTCAAATAAAAATATAATTGAATATGAAATAATAAATAGTTATCACTAAAAGTAATTAATTTCTTAACTGTGAAGAAACAATGGAGATGTTTTGACTGGAAAAGTTAAAAAGGTTTTTACTTCTTTAACTTTTTCCTAGTAGAATGCCTAGTAAATTCTTTCCCTTGAATGTATATCTATCATTAAGGGCACAATGCCTCTTTGTAGTGAGCAAGAGGTCATGTTACGTTTACATCCACCTTGGACTAGCAACATAGCCTATGACCCACTCTCCAAGAGAAATGTTGGATGAAAAACAAAAAGCATGTTCCCCCCCAAGAAACTTTTGAAAGAAAAGCAAAGTTTTAGAAGGATGTTTTGTGAAAATTAATGAGCTTAAAAATTAGTTCAAATTTAGAGGGCCTCCAAGCATTGGTTTCTTCTGGGTGAATGAAAGTTCAACTATAACAAAAAAAAAAAAAAAGAAGATGCCTTTGTTTCTATAATCAACCAAACCTACATTTCATGCATCTGTCATAATCTTTTCAGGTTTTGCATCATTTTACGACCCCTGCACCTAAAGTGCATTGTAACAGGACACAGACATATATAGCAGCAATAAAACAAAAGCTTGTTTGACTGTACAATCCCTTCAATAGTCACTACGTCAGGCTTTATTATTACCTCCATTATTTGAAATTTTCAGTTCAAAATGAGGTAAATGATTCAGAAAGAAATCTTTTGCCCTGCCATTAAATTCTTTCTTATATAAGGGGGGTAAAAAAAATCTGCAGAAAATCTGGATAAGTGGCTCTATCAAAGATCACATCACATGGGCAACTGAGCCTAAATCTTATATAAATATAATTAATAAAAGAAATTAATTTGCAAAATGAAACGAGGGCTGTCTCCTTACACAGTAACAGCGTGGCCACCGAATGTGTAAAGAATGTTTGTAGCCCCAGTAAAGTATAGCACCAGCTTCGCTGGCCCCGAATGCTTAACTCCTTCAATCTAATTAGTAAGAATAATGATAATTTCAGAACAAAATTATAAAAGTTAAATCTATAATTGATAGAAAAAGAAAATTACCTGACCGTTGATTAGAGAAGCAACGGTTAGATACCAAGCAGTGTATGTAGTCATAACAAGGCCAAGAAAAGACCAAACTCTGTAGTTGTGGAATGAAGGGATGAAAACTGTAGTAGCACAGCATGCACCAAAGATATAGGTCCACGTTCTCTTGTCTAAGTTGTCATTTATATAATATATATTACTGCAAAAAAAATCAAATATTGAAAAAAATAAGATCTATTTACATTAAATTAAAATAGAGAGAAAAGCGAAGAATTAACTGTTGTTAATAAATGTACCTAGCACATGCAATTAGCTGAATCACAGATCCAAACAGGAGAAAAGTGCAGTTAAAGGCCAGGCCTACATTCCTCCAGTGTTTACCAAGTAATCCATCAAGCACTTCAAACCACTGATTTTTTTTTTAAATCAAAATAAAACAATGTAATTAGAAAAATGCCTCCAAAATCATTAAAAATTTATTTAAGTTAATTTGGTTAACTAAAATTTTACCTGGATTACATGATTCCTGAAATCAACCTTTTCTCTTTCCTTTCTAGCTCTATACTCAACATATAAGACACTAATCAAGTAAGCAGTCCAGCTCCCTAAAAGCCCATAAAATACTTGTAGTAGTATTCCGCTCACCATTCCAAGTTGTGAGAATGAATATGGAAGAGTCAGCAGAACTTGAGCTACCTGGAAAAGAAAAACTAACTTAATTGATAAATAATGAAAATGGGTCCTATGGTCTGTATTTTGTTTCATTATACGTTTTCCTTTTTAAGAAAATACTACGGATGCCAATGAGCTGGGGTTCATTTCATTAACAAATATGAACAAATTATGTCATTGTTTCCTTTTATGTTTTTTTAGTATATATATCTCATTATGATCTTATAATGAAATTTTGGACATTTTTATTTAGAAAAAAGGGCATTTGAAGTATGACCTGGTTTGAAGCGCAACTGAACCAAGCATCATAAGTTGAGCCTCCATGCCAAAGGAAGCTAGAGAGCTTAGATTTCACTGTCTTCTCTTCATCGTCTCTCTCCATTTCAATATATCTACCAATAATTACATCCTCTGCCACTTTGTCCTCAATGCCATTAGAAGCTGAAGCCATTCTTCTCTCTATAGCTAGTTTTAGTAGTGAGAGCACAATGAGTTGAATTTAGTTCTATGAGAAAGGTTGGTTGTATTTATAGTGAATAAAGGAAGGAGATGATCATGATGATGAAGAAGTCTGAACTGAGCTGTGTCGAGTGGGGTTCAACGGTTGCGGGTTTTGAACGAAACCGGCCCGCTCTTGGGATTCGGTTTAATTTTTTAATTTTTTTTTAAATCTTGGTTTTGTTTTTTTTTTTAATTTTTGCACTTATTTGAGCGTGGTCCTGCCCTGCGCACGAGCGGTTCGCTCGCTTCTCGAGTCGGGATTAAAAAATTGAACCGGATCTTTTTTTTTTCCTCCTAGGTTTTAGGTTACCAGCAGGGGTGCTAAATCGTACCCGTATCCAGAGAAATATTTATAACTGTATCTGTTAGGATACAAATATGATTATTCAAATCTATAATCGATGGTCTATATATAGTTACGGGTATGGTTTTTTAGTGAAATATCTGGATTTGTATCTGTTATGGTAATTTACCATCTAAAGATAAAAATATTGAGAAGCTATGTCTTCATAGGCCCAAAAGAGCTATGACACAAACCAGCTTAGCGGCCCAAAGCCCAGCCAAGGACAAATCTATCGACCAGCTGAGCAAACGAGTCATCTTTACTGACACGAAGTACGGGATCAGTCGACCCCTTATGATCGAGACGACTCCTCAAGAGTCCACCCACATCATGATCGAGACGACTCCTCAAATAGTCGGCTCGACCATCTACTGGGCAGTCTACTCGGCCAGAAGCTCGCTTGATTGTCTGGTCGACAAATTATAGGGACGATTCAAAAATCAATCCGTCTCTACTGAGGGGATAAGATCCAACTAAGCTCCCTTCAGATATACATCAATCAACACTACAGTATTGATCGGTCCTATCAAGATCTCAACTTTGACAAATCTCATGCGTAAACAGCTTACTCCGTTCACAAGTCACTTCCCAGAGATTACTAAGACATTCTCTCCAGGGCTCGAATGACTTCCCTCTCAGTCGTCAGCCGACATCTGTAAAGCGGATGATGACTAAGTAGCCGACCTATCTTTCGTAATGCCTCATCTTTCAAATCCGGGATCTTATGGAGACAGTCTCTCCTATGCTCGAATGACTTCTCTTCCCGTCACCAGCCGACATCTGTAAAGCGAAGGATGACTCAGCAGCCTGTCTGCTCACCCCATAACCGCCATCCTGTGCATAGTCAGAGCCAAGGGTCAGCATCTCAGAGGCGATGGACTATAAAAGGAGGGAAGGTAAGAAAAACAAAAAAAAAGGTTCTTCTTCTTCTTCATAAAACTCTGGGGATCATTTCTCCCTCTTGATCTACTTTTACTAAAAAGAGAACTAATAACTCTAAAAGAGTACCCCCTTACAAGGACATCAATGGTCCCGGGACTCTCCCTCAAACCCCACTCAAACTCACCAGCTGACTTGACCGTCAGAGATACCACGGGGGAAACAAGCCCCGCCCTCTTACTGGTTCGTTCTTCTTGTTTATGTAGAAGAATCAGGAATTCCAATCCAATGATCGGGCATAAAGTCGGAGGAGGAGTCGGCCCCATCTCCCATCCTCTCTCTCTTCATCATCAACGCGAAGATATGAACTGCATCCATCAGCGGAAAGCTCTCATCGACTGTGTGATCTCGGATATCAACAGTATCCAAAATATCCGAATACATATTAGTCATGCTCTTGCAATAGTTTTAATTCTTACATTATGGATTTTTGGTTAATTTTGATGATCAAGATATCTAATCTTAGCTTTTTTGTTATAATGAACATATTAAAGAACTATTTTGTATCACATGAACTATTATTTTCTCAATACCATCTAGTTTTTTCATATCCGTTCTGTATCCACATGCATATCCATTTATATATCCGCATGCATATCTGTTTATATTCACATGTATATCCGTAACTGTATCCGATTTTAGTGGATATAGATATGAATTTTCCTTACCGAGGTATATCCGTATCCGTATTCAAAATTAATAAACGAATATGGATATGATAAGTATCATATCCTATCTGTATCCGGACTGAATGCACCCCTAGTTACAAGTCCTTCAACAAATATGCTATTGGGTTCGGATATGAGTCTCTTGTAAATGTCATATTTAGATTTTTCTCTTGCGATAAGTGATTTATTTTGGTATGAATCTCATAAGCAAACATGACTAAAGTAATTATAATACTTAATTTATAAAAAAACTTAAAATCTTTTTCCTCTATTTTAAAAGTAAACAATGGTTTGCCCTCACGTGAGAATTGAACACAGATATATTCTTTAAAATTCTTCCAATCTGAATTGAAATATGAGTAGGTTCCCAAAATATTTATCAAATATTAATTAAATATATCTAGTTAATTTTAAAATAGCATTTGAATCCATAACAAACAAATAAACCTTTACAATCTTGATCTTCATGTATAAATTCCTAATTTAAATACACTTTAAAAAAATTCTTGGAACTTTTAGGGTTAATTTGTTATTGTTAGAGCTAATAATAAGTTACTTATAAAAACGGTTATAGAAGCAACTTATATAAGTTGTTGAAAATAGTTGTTTGGTAATCAAATATAAAAATCTGCTTAAAAACTATTAAAGTATTTGTTAGAATTGTGCTTAATGATCAATGTCAAAAGATAAAAGATATTTATGATGTACAATCTAAAAAAAGTAGAAACTAAAAGCATCCTCATATTGCTTCAAAAAACACCCCTTAAAAGTAGTATAAACATTTGAAAATAGTTGTTTGGTAATCAAGTATAAAAATCTGCTTAAAAACTGTTAAAGTATTTATTAGAATTGTGCTTAATGATCAATGTCAAAAGATAAAAGATATTTATGGTATACAATATAAAAAAAAGCAGAAACTAAAAGCATCCTCATATTGCTTCAAAAAACACCCCTTGAAAGTAGAAATAGTTTCAAGAAGTATATCAAAAAAATTCATCAAACGCCATTATTGACTACTTATTGAACACCCTGAAAAAAGCAATATAAAATTGGCCCTTAGTCTCCTAAAATTAACGCATAATCTAAAACAATAAAATATGAGGATCCAAATATGAAAAATAGCAAGAAATTAATTTTTAAATAAATATTTCATAAGCTGATGAATCAAATATGTAAATGTTTTACATTTGATTCGTTTGATATTTGAATATAAAAATTAAATTGATTTCTCTTAAGTGATATTGTGCATCGAATTTGAATGAAGATTAGATGGATAATAATATTTCTTTCAAAGAAATAACAAATCAAACTATTTGATTATTGTTTGATCAATATCCACACCTATTAGAAAAAGTCTAATCAAGATCTTGAAAAAAATAGTAATATGAAAGAATAAATGGAAATGACATGGAAAGAATCGAATGAGTATGAAGAAGAAATTAGGGTTAGTTTCACAAAACCTCCCCGGGTCTTCTTGCACATAATCCTAATTTGGAGCTTTATGTGAAATTTGTTGGATTTGGGTGTAGCCCAAACCTGTCACGCGAGGTCGTCGAACATTGTAGGCGAATTCGAGGAGATCCACAGTCGAGCTTCAGGCGAGGTCGAGCTCCAGGCGAAGTCCAGACGAGCTTGAACGCAGGCGACGTAGGCAAGCTGGAGGCGACTTGCTGCATGTGAGGTTGAGGCTCCTTGCAGGCGAGGTTGAGGGGCCCACAAGGGAGCTCGAACGCTCGCATGGTTGGCGACAGCTGTAGGTGTAAATTTTGATCTCCCGAAAACAGGGAACTTCGTTTGTATTGATAAGAAGGCTTATTACAAACTAATGAATCAAATGTTTACAACAGAAGCGGAGGGAAGGCCCTCCTTGTTTAACGTGGGTTCCTCGGTGGCGATAGGACGCTTCGCTCGGTGCTCGTGCCGAGTCTGCTTCCCTTGGACGATCTGACCGAAGTTGCTGCCGGAGCTTCAGTTCTCAAATGAGGGAGCCTTTGGCAAAGGTCCGGGTTCAACCTTTGGGAGATTAGCCAGCAGAATATGCAATAGCCAATTCCCTTCTTCATGCTGCTGAAGATGGGTTTTTAACAGGCAAGGGATGGCATGGGCCATCCCTCGATTCGTGGGATTTGACCACTGATGGAGGTGAGAGAGCCTGCCGCCCTAGCAATATGAATGGTCATTCGAGGGATTGTGCTTTATGTCATATCACATAGGAATGGGAAGGCCTATCCTCGTACGTGTGACAACGGCTGTTAGGTACTCGAATGGATCTGACCAACCACCGAGCGCCGGTGGCTTTCACCCTTCGCTTGGACAACTTAGGTGAGTCGCATTTATGAGGGTGCAGGTTGATTTGGCACCTGTCTGCTCACTTGTACTGTGGGCGGCTATTCGGTGGTCCTGGAGTACCGTGTCTCCTCTCTTCAGGCCAAGAGAGGCGGGAAAGCATGTTCCTGGTACTCGAGTGGGCTTGGACAGCTTCGCCTAATGCTGGCGGATTCCTGGTACTCGAGTGGGCTTGGACAGCTTCGCCTAATGCTGGCGGATTCGGCCCTTGACTCAGACAGTCGAGGTGGGTTGTATTTATGAATGTTCAGGTCGACTTGACACCTGCCCAGTCATTCGTACTGTGAGCGGCCACTTGACGGTCTTGGAGTACTGTGCCATCTCCCTTGATTTGTGGGATTTGACCACTGATGTAACTGTTCCCATACTCCAAGTGGGCAGTTGACAGCGAGCTGACGAGTCTGCAGCTTGGGTCTGCGGGGCGAGCTGGGTCTACAGGCAAACTCGGAACAGCAGGCAGACTTGGGTCTGCAGGCGGATTTGGGACTGCAGGCGAATTTCGAGCTGCAGACGAGCAGGCAGACTTGGGTCTGCAGGCGGATTTGGGACTGCAGGCAGATTCGAGCTGCAGGCGAGCTCCTGAGCATGGATTGAAGAATAGGCCGTAACTTTCAAACCGTAAGTCGGAATTGGACGAGTTATATATGAAAATCGCCTATCCTGCTCTTCACTCGCAGCTGATGATCGCCTTCTAGGATTTTGAGCAA